TTTTTTTTTATTGCTGTGACTCAGTACGCTGATCGTGTTCACTTGAGTTGTACTGACATCATCACTTTTCTTTTAGTAGTGGGGATCCTACAGTTCTAATGTCAATCTCCTTGGGAAGATACAGTTATGGATATTGCGCACAGAGCTGGATAACAATGGCAGTAGTTTCTGAGAAATATCAGGTTTACGTGCTTTGAGAGCCTACTCTCATGTATTCATCTTTGGCTACAAACACCTACACACTAAACATAATTTTGACTGGCAGTTTGGAATATTTCAGTATTATAGTGTTAAAATAAATGTCAACATTGTAAGGCTTAACAAGGCTGAACAAGGTTGTGGCTTGGAGGTTAGAGTACTTTTGCTAGGAAGCAGGAGATCGGTAGTGTAACTAGGGGTGGGCAAGTGGGACACCAGCCCAAGGCATTGAATTAGAGGGGGCACCAGAATGACAGCCCCCAGGGTGTCTGTGCCAGAGCAGAGGCAGCAGCAGCAGCAGGGACACCACACCACACCACACCACACTGCTGCTTTAGTAATAGCAGTAACAATCGGGGGCTGGAAGCAGCAGCCAAGGACTTTGAATCCCTAGGACAAATAATAATTGACCAACTCGCTCTCCAGCAGGGTTTTGGCCAAGATGCAGCACTTCCTAGTTAAGTCCCTGCAGTAGGTACAGGATCAACCCCCCTCTAAAGGAAGTGGGGCCTAGAAGTGGGGAAACTTGCTTCTCAGGCAAGTGCTCAACTACTACACTAAATGGGTTAAAAGATGAGAGGATCTTCTTCTTCCTGTGTCTAGCATCTGTTAGTCATGGATTCTTGCCTGTCTACAATTTAAGAATTTACTAGGATTCAGCCCTATTGAGCATGCGTAGTGTATGTATGGATGTTTGTGCGTTCAAAGTTGAGTTACCAAATGCGTTCAAGTTGCAAACACTGCAGTTTCACAGATGCATAGCTGTCATGTAGGTAGGGAGAGGTATTTAAATGTGTAAAGTGAAATAGGATTCTGCCCTGAATCTACGCAGATCAGCACCGATGATGAAAGTGGTAGTGATAGTCCAAAAGTTAAGTCAAGGTGAAATGCCCTGTTATCACTCTTTGCACTGCTACCCTCAGACACTAAAAAAAATAAATTTCCTGGAAGATTTGTAGAATGCTCTCTTCAAACCATTCTAGAAAACCCACCTTTTGCATATGGTTACTAAGTGTGTGGGGCAAAAAAAAATTGAATCTCCACCCTTTTTATCTTCTGTATGAATTTTCAGACAGACCTCCCTCTCCATGTCTGTTTATCTGTCATAAAATGAAAAATTCACCACCACCACTGGCACCCTTGTTGAATGAGCATGGGAACTGAGCTACCCTTTGAGCTGATCTCTTTGGGGCTGGTCTGAGGCAATATGTTATGATAAAGTGGAGAGCTTGCCCTATTGCCATTTCTAGTTAATTTTCTGTGGATCAGAAGATGATTGCAGTGATCAGTGTAGCATCTTTCACAAACACTTAACTTGCATGTAATTAAAAATAAAGAATCTGCACTGAGGCTTGACCAGGAAGTGCAAAAAAAGTCCAATTTCTATTGTTCGTACAGCTACAAGTTACAAGTCAATTAGTTTGAGGAAGAAATACCTAAATTCACTTAAAACACACAAAACTCTATTTTTAGGGCAATTGCAACAGTGTATGTTTAAAAAAAAAAAAGTAGAGAATCCAGTGGAGAAAATAAGATTTTGAACATCTGCAATCTGTATAGAACATCTCCTTTTTTTGACTGATATGCGGAAAGGAACTGCTATCTTTTCTCCCAGGTTAAACCCAAAGCCAATCCTTTAAACCATGGGTGCTTAACCTCTGGCCTATGGGCCAAATGTGGCCTGCAGAGCCATGGTTCGGGACATGATGAGAGCAGTGGCCATTAATATATCCACCTCCTCCCTGCCAAATTCCCAAACCCATAGGCCTGCATGGTCAGTTAGAGCCGGGCTGCAACCTGCTCCTCCCCCCTGAGGGGCTGGGTTGAAGCTGGGCAATGCTCACTTGCCCCCCGTCCTCACAAGGCTGGGCTATGCCTCCTTCCCCATGTGGGACTGGGCCATGTCCCCTCCCCCTGGGTATGGATCAGGGCTGAGCCATACCTCTCCCCTCCCCACCGTGGGGCTGGTTTGGAGCTGGGCCAAGCCCCTTCTCCTCCCTAGTGGGACCGGGTTGGGTCTTGGCCATGCACCCTTTCCCTGTGGGGCTTGGATATGCCCCCTTCCTCCCTCCCCTCCCTCGTGTATGGCCAGGCCACGTCCCCTTCCCCGGGGTCAGGCTGTCTCCATCCATGCAGCCAGATGGTACCTGCTACACCTGCCCCAGGCACAGGATCAGGATCAGCAGCCCATGGATGGACTAGGCACTGCTCATCTAGCCCACCAGGGCTTTAAACTGAACTCTTTAACTTCAGCAAAGTTAAGCATGTATATCATATTCTTAAGTGCTTATCTGAGCTGGGACCTTAACAGTTGTACAGCAAAAACAACAAAATGAATTGAAGTGGTATTACATGTACAGAATAACCAGATGAGTGTGGTCATGTGGTACGTGGTGCCACAGACATGTCTACGGCGCCACATACCATGCATTTAGATGTTCCCTGTGTTGCAAGGGCACCCTGCCCATGTGTGCACTGCTCTGCCTTTTTTTCTACGGGCTTTTTTGACTCCTGGAGACCCAGGGAAAAAAAAACCATGGGAAAAAAAAAGCAGAACAGTACATGCGCAGGTAGTGCATACCATTCAAAAGCGGGGCCAGGCCACCGGCGCCATGCTCCAGCTGCCAACCAGGCTCTGTGTGGCAGAACTGTTGCTGCTGCTGCAGCCCTGGGAGGTGCCCAGGACTCCAGGTAAGGCTGCTGGGGCTCCATGCTGTCCGCACAACTTCTCTAGATTCCATAACTTCTGTAGGTAGCCTGCTCCAATGCTTAATCACCCTCATAGTAATAAAGTTCCTTCTAATCAAACCTAAATTTCCTCTGCTGACACTTGAGGCCATTGTTCCTAGTCCTTTATGCTAGAGAACCTTCTATCTTCACCCTTCTTACAACTGCCCTACAGGTATTTAAAGACATATCAATTCCCTCCTCAGTCTTCTGTACCCCAGGCTAAATACTCCTACTTTTTCAGCTCTTTCCTCACAAGTCATGTTTTCCAGACCTCTTATTATTTTTGTTCCTGTCTACTGGTCTCTTTCCAATCTGTCCACATCTTTCTTGAAGTGTGGGGCCTAAAACTGGACACAAATCCAGGTGAGACATCACCAGTGCCTACCAGAATGGAAGAATCACTTAACTTAATTTGCGAGGAACACTCTTGTTAATACAACCCAGTATTGGCTTTTTTGCAAGAAAGTGGAGTTCCATAACGTATTATCTCTATAATTTAGTATGATTTTTATTTCAAACAGCATTAGAACAATGTGGGAACCAGCTACATTCACAAAACAGTATTTGTCAAAAAAAAAAACCTGCCATTAAATGACTACTTGGTCACTGTCTTTGTATGAAAGGGCTGAATATTGTACAAAAATGGCAAAGAAGGAAATTCCACACAGTTTTTCTAACAATATTTTATAAAAACAATTGTTCTATTTATCTTATGTTTTTCTATCCCAATGCATCATTTTGGTATCTAAAAGCACTAATGATTCATTTGTTTAGCACTGACCGCATACTTGGTGCTTGTTGGGTGAAAAACTTGGCTTCTAAGTGAGGTTAATCACTTATTTAGACTAATAGTTTTTTTGTTTGTTAGAGTATATTTGGCTTTAAACAAAAGTGTTTGAGATTTGTCTTCTTTATCTTTATAAATTTATCTTTATTTGGCAGGGTAACTCCACCATCTGAAAATCCCAACGGTGCTTCTTGTAGCGTAAGTCAAGGAAAGCCTTCTCTGAGAAGAATAAAAGGGAGAATACATAGAAGTAAAAGTCTTGATAGTATTGATTTCTGTGAATTCAGTGTAAGTAAAATATTTATTGCATTACTCCTAGCTGCAGTTTCTGAATACTCTTGGTATCAAACAAGAAGATGTATAAAATTTTGTCCTTCTTTTTTGGGAATTAGATTTCATATACTTGTCAACATTCAACAGGTTATTTTATTAAAGCTTAGTAACATTACAAATAGAATCTCATGCTGCAATGTTGACATCATTGATATTGAATGTTTAGTGATCCACAATTGCATTTTTGTTCCTTAGAAAATATCAGTGTGATAAATGAAAATGTCATATTTTAAGACTGCTCCTTGAATGATTAGATATATGCACATAAAAGATAGAAAGTATTTTGGTTATATGCACATAAAGGATAGAAAGTATTTTGGAACGTATGCATCTACTTGAATACTGTGATCACATTTCCAAATAGGAAAAAAATAAAAGCTATTCCAGAACTGTATTATCATGTTTGGAGCTTGGAAGTTGTACTCAAAAAGAAATATTTATGATTTCAACAGAAGTTACTTAATTATTTTCATAGTGTATGGACATGATAATAATCTTTAAAAATAGATTTTTATTTTAAGATTATACGTGTGTACGCGTGTGTATATGTTGTGAAAGATAGATAGATGGATATCATTTAAAAGCTGAACTTGATCAGATCTGATCATTTGTGTTTTAATTAAACAGTAGGCATATAACCTTTCTTGGTTCTTCCTGGATAGACAGTTAGGTCTTCTATTTATGTAGATGCTGCTTCACCAGATTAAGTCTTAATGTTTTAATAGGCTTGAATAAGCAAGGTTTGAAGGTCTGAATGGTGTCTCTGGAATGTGAGGAAAAATAGACTGAAAAATCATGAGCAAAACTGTAATCCGTATGAGAGGTATATTTAAAAAAGGCAGAAAATACAGTCTTAAAGAAATAAAGAAGTGCAGAGAAGAGGGTTTCAATTTATCATTACTTGTATTGTTATTCAAAAGTAACTCCATTAAAATCAATGTAGTTTTATGGTCTGAAACTAGTTTACACGAGATCAGAAGCCAAATTTATGCTTTCACGAGTATGTAGCAAAGTCAGTGGCAGTTATGCCTATGAATCAAGGGATAGTATTTGGCACCAAATATGAGAAAAATTAGGACTATCAGAAGGAAACTGAGGTATTGATAATGTGCAAACAAATATAGAATTAATACTAATACTGAGGGAAGGGGCCTGCAATTGACTTGAATTAAAGAAAGATAGACAGTATAAATCTCATAACCTAAATGCCAACACTTAATGATGTGATGGCCAATCATCCTCTTAGGAAGAGGAATTCAAATTTGTTGGGAATTAATAGTCTAGATTTACCTTTGTTCAGGAACTTGTATCTATCTGCTGACCAAAATAAAGAGAGAGTGTTAAGATTTCTGTGTTTTATATCCTCTACAATACTTCTGTCAGAGTTTTCCTGAAAAAGTGGACTGAGGAACTGCTTAGATTTAATTGAACCTAGTTAGTCAATCCGTGTTGTGACTTGTAAAGACATGGTGGAGCTAGCTTTAAACTGAATAGCTTGGGTACTGTAGCTGTGGTCTCAGTTTGGATGTCAAAACCTGCCTGAGGAGCTTGGTAAATAAATGCAGCTGTCACTGATACTCATGCTGCTGTGGCTACACTACTAGCGGTACCTGAGCAAGCTAGTTTAAAGCTAGCTTACGTATGTCTATGCAACTCACAGTTACAGCTGTGACTGCAGCATGGACCTACCCTTACTAAAGGATATTTTATCAGCAAGATGAATTATCTATAGTTTGTGACGGGAGGGTTTTAGTCTAAATTTACCTCCATCCTTGGGGCACCCAGAGAAAAGAGGTTATTACAAACTAAAGCTCATAGTATAACCCAACAAAGAGATTTGAGATATATCGGGGCGGGGAGGGGAAGAGCTCATTTTCTGCACAATGACTGTTATGCCACAAGCAACTCTGCAACATCCTACTGCAGAGCGGCATATTTCCCCCCTGCCCCACTTTCTTTCTTGGCCTTCCTCCAGGGTAGGTTTTCTTACTGAGTAGCCACCATCTCTTGGGGTTTGTAGGGGCCAGAAATCTATGCGTCTTTTCTTGTGGATCATAACACAGGTGTATGTCTCACTTGTTTGCAGAAATATTTATTCAGATCTTTTCTACCAATATAAAAAGGAAATAGACAAAAACATTATTTTTAGTATTATATCAAATGCAATAACTCATTAAAAGCTAGTTATCTATACATTGAAATACCTAAACCAGTGATGGGATTTATTGCAGTTTGATAGCTTAATAATACAGGTTTAAAATCTCCTTAAATATTTTAGTCTATACATGATGTTATTACTGTCTTCTATATGGTATATTATAGAAACAGAAATAACAACATCAAAGTGTAAAATTAACATGGATTGTGTACTTTCACAAAGCCAAAATTAATCTGTTTGTGGCTAAGTATTGATTATGATGGCCAGGTAAGAAAGATTGTTAATATTCTGAAGCCCTCTGTAGAGAATGAAATAGTTAAGCATAAGGAGTGCCCAAAGCAGCAATTATGTAGCTGCGTTCATGCCATTTGGGCATGTAAAGTGAAATTAGATTTTTCCCTCAATTTTCAGTCTTTAATCCATCAGGCAATGCTTTCACTACACTAGGTTTTATACCAATTATTAGCTACTGATTAATTTATTTGAAGTGCAGTAGCACCTAGAAATGTCATTCACTGTAATATTTCAGGTAGAGAAGAGAGAAGAGCTTTAAGTTTCTCTTACTGCTGCCTGTACTAATTGCACTGCTGAAAGTGATTAACCCAGAATGTAGTGTGGAAAGGGGAAGGTGAAAGTATTCTGTGTGCGTGTACGCGCACATTCACAGGTGCGTGCGTGTGCACGCATTCACAGGTGTGCACAGTGCTTTGTTGCTGCCAGTATTATGAATTTTACTTTCTTTATAAAGTGAGGTGATGTTTTGAGAATGTTGGGGGTTAGTCTTTGTTTCTTATTAACTTTCATGAATGCATGTGATGACAGCCTTATATCACTACCATAATTTCTCTGTATAGTGCTTTTTCTTTTAAAGTTAGGACATGGTCTGAATGACTTCTTTACTGTAAATTTTATCCACAAATCATTGGTATTATTGCAGTTGTAATTAAAACTAGAAATAAAGAAATCCAAGTAATTCAAGCAGTGGACTGTTCCATGTTTTAGTCAGATCATTGCATAATATGCTTCTGAGGAAGGCAATGCTTTTTCTAATCTTTACTGAAAAACATGGGTTAATTACTTTTTAAAATTTTACTGTGTGCTTTTGTAGCCAAACTTTCTTCTTTTACATTTTTGGATCTTTGGCTTTTGAGGCAATGGATATTATTTATTAAGTTTGTTTTTATATAGATTATTCCATTTTAAGGAGCTTTTAAGAAGAATGGAACCACATGAAGAAAAAAAAAGTCACTTGTGTATACAGCGTGCTAACTAGTGCATAATTATAGTATAAATGTAATAATAAGATGAATGCCATTTTAAGTCCTGCAGTCATTTTAACCTCGTTTGTATAAGTGGAAGGAAAAATTCACCAATCGTGATGGAGTCCTTTAGAGATCCTTAATTTTTATTGTACACAGGTATGTGCTCATTATGTGACTGTTTATGAGAACTAGACACTCTGTGGTACTTCATACATTTCACAATATTATAGTAAAGTAAAGTAACACATTTACTGCAATCAAATGACATTTTCAAATACTGATATCCAGATTTATTCTAAGTAAGCCACACATCAGAAAGCAATTTTAGAGCAATCTGTGGCTTTATCTTTCTAAGGTAAATCTCTTCCATCTCATAGTAACTTATATTTCTGATCAAAATATTAATACAATTTACTTTTAGTGAAATATAAAATAGTGCCTTACAATAATTTTATTTTACTAAACCACTGAATGGAAAAATAATATTGAATGAAAATCGTTTATTATTGTTATGATTCAGTTGCACATAAGTCCGAGAGAAAAATAATCTGATGCTCTTCTATACCCTTGATTTGGGCTCCTTTTGAAATACAAAACTTATTGTCTGGCTTTTTCTTCTACCATATTTTTTCACCTCTCTGTTTCAAGATGATATCCCTTCTAGCACCGATTCAGAAAAGGAATATATTTTCAATAGTCTTCCTTTCTCTGATCTTGCTTTTTAATCAAAAAGCAGTTTTCCCATGTTTTATGTAAGTAACTTTTTAATATCAAGGCAAATCATAGGTCTTAGACACTGTGCACTCTGTATGAAACTTAGAACAGCCTTACAATGAATCCTGAGGCTATAAACCATAAATGAACAGCTAATTTAATTTGATAAGTTCAAAACTGGGGCTGACTTTCTTTCCTTTATTAAAAATGAGACAATCATCACCCTATATAGTTAGAGAGCCATTAAAAACATTTATTTTATGTTTCTTTGTAATGTGTTCTGCATTGTTAAGTAAAGAGGAACAAATAAAACATGACATTTACATATTTAAAATAAACACCAAGGTTAAGTCCCTGAATAGGTTCAGAATGTCATTTTAAATCTACAGCAAATGCTAACCCCTTAGTGAGGATGACATCAGCTGAAGGATTTCAAAATTCCCTTTGATTTAGGAATGTGTTTTGAGTAGGAATATTTGTGCTCATTAATTGTACTCAGTGATCTCACTAGCAAACATCATATTTGAAACTTGGCAAAAAGATCTTTATTGCAGTGAAGGGAAATATTTATTTAAAGAAATAACTGGTAGATTACTTCAGTACCATCATGTCATTTGCCTGTCTGCTTCTAAGTTGTCAGGTCTCTCCTTAACTCATGAGAAGAACTGTCAAAAAGATCTAGGACATCATGTATACTATCTTCAATTTTATATATATCACATACCTTCCACATGGTTGTATACCCTTTTAGCTTACAATATTCCTTCACCCTGTGTTTATATCTATATCCACGTATTCGCTTTCTACTAAATGAAAACCCC